CAGTTAAGGGTAAGAAAATTATGTCATTAATGTGATTAGTCTTCCCTTGATCATAATGTGATGTGTGATCAATCCTCCTCAATGTGTCCAATACATATTAAGATTCATACATTGTTTGAGTTTATACACTATTTGGAGGTATATGATTAATATAATTGGTGAGTGTTAAATAGGCTCACTAAACATTTTCGCTTTCCCGTTGTTATTAATCTTTTGTAGTATTACTTGAGAAGAATCCAACTTGACTACAACCACATTGCAACTTTGAAAATACAAAGTCTTTTGCTATTTACTCTCAATGACAATGATTTATGTAACACTGGAAGGAATAGTTTTATGAATAAATGCTTTATTATCAGTTTTTAATTGGGACCAAACAGAAGTTTAATTTATATATATATATATATATATATATATATATATATATATATATATATATATATATATATATATATATATATATATAGAAGAATCAGGGTGTTACAGTAATGTTTGTGGACAAGGTTATGACAATGGATCAAATATGGAAGGAAAACACAAAGGAGTGCAAAAAAGACTTCTAGATATAAACTCTAAAGCTTTTTATACTCTTTGTGGTTGTTATTGTTTGAACTTAACTTTATGTGATATAATTAATACTTGTGGTAAGGGTAATGATATTTTTGGAACAATACAACATATCTATACATTTTTTTTGCAAATTCCACCAAAAGATGACAAATTTTAAAAGATAACGTGGAATGATTAACTCCTAAATCTTAGTTATCCACTCTTTGGGAGAGTCATGTTGATAGTGTTAAAGCTATAAGATTTCAAAATTTTGTTATACAAGAAGTGTTACTTTAAGTTGCTAAAAATGATAATGATCCAAAAATAACAAGTAAAGCTAAATCCTTAGCAAAAAATAAATTTGATAACTTTTAGTTTATAATGACACTAGTAATTTGGTATGAAAATTGAAGTACTATTAATTTAGTTAGGAAACAGTTGCAATCAAAAGATATGCTTATTAATGTTGCTATGAAAAAAAAATAAAGGAGTTGATTTCCATTTTTAAGGAATATATAGAAATTGATTTTTTAAATCCTTTACAAATTTCAGAAGATATTGCCTTGGAAATAGAAATTGATCCAATATTTCCTAAAAGACATGAAATTAAAAGAAAAAAAAAAACATTTTGATCAGATTTCAGACAATACTTATCCTTGTGTTTCATAATCCGCACAATCGACTTTTAGGGTTGAATTTTTTATATATATTGTTGATCAAAGTAATTACTTCCCTAACTACAAGTTTTGAATAATATCAACAATAGTTACAATATGACAACATATTCGGTTTTTTATTTTTTAGAAAAATTACTTTCATTAGATGATATAACCTTAAATTCTTGTGGTAAGTCTTCTGAAAATTCACTCAAGAAAGATGAACAATCGGATATTGATGTAAATAACTTATATGTTAAGTTTAAATTACTTATACATCTTCTGCTTAAGAAAAAAATGACAACAATTGATATTCAAAAGTTTTTAAAGCATGTTGATTGTTTTCCTATTACATCTATTACATATAGAATTATGTTGACTATTCATATTACTGTTACATCTGTAAAATTGAGTTTTTTCAAATTGAAGATTTTGAAGTCCTATTTTACGATCTACAATGAACCAAAAACAAATTAATAGATTGGCTTTGATGATAATTGATCGCAATATTTTGGATGAAGTTACTTATGAAGATGTTATTTAAAAACTTATTTCAACGAATATTAGGAGATAATTGTTTTCAAGTAGAAGCAAATTTCTTTTTGTGTATTATTTTGAATAAAATTTTAATTTTTATGTATTTTGCTATAGAAATGAATCTTTATAAATTTTTTGCTTAAAATTTTAGATCTTTCAAGTTTTAGGGCCTATTCTTTTGTTAAACTACATAGAGTGTCCAAAATCTCACGTACAACCCTATAATTTTAGCAGTAATTGTTGAAATTTAGCATAAACTTGTCATTAAAATAATCATTGATTCTCCGTTGGGCTGGGTATGGGATGGGAAGCTTATGGCGATGAGGGTGAGGATTCAGTTATGAGGATGAGATGCATGTTGTCATCTCTAAGTGGTCGTTTGATAGTCGCTAACTAGGTTGGAGCTGACTGAGTTAGAAGTTCTGACTGAGTCCACATCTAACTTAGTTTATGTTGTTTGATTATTTGTTTAACTGAATGTGGTGAATGATGGCAAATGACCATATTACCCTTATACTTTATTTTCTTATTTTCTAGTCGACATACACATTTGTAACACCATAAAATTTCAAACAAAATTTTCATTTAAAAATCACATCAATCTCATTAACAAAATCACAAAATCCCTAAAATATCAAATTATTAAAACACATGTGCATAATAATAATATCCAGGATCCTTAATACAAAACTCAGTCTTGTATGTACAATCAAGCCGACGCCTTCCCGTGATCTTGAGAAGTACCTGAAATACATAACACATAACACGGTAAGCACAAAGCTTAGTGAGTTCCCTAAAATACCACACACATCTCATTAGCCTCTCATGGCTATGCTCGAATAAGACCATTCGGTCAAAACCCTAAAGTCAACAGAACTCAACACTTGAGTCAACAGTCCATGTTGATCGGAATCGTCGAGTACATCTATGTGACTTGTCAAGTCCCCTCGTTTCCTCAGAAATGTCACAAAAATCCAACTTAACTCGTCGAGTTGTCTCATCAACTCGCCGAGTTACTCATGTCCAGACTCATTGGGGAAAACCCTAGCTGACTCGTCGAGTCAGCTCATCGACTCGGCCAGTCCATTTAGTTTATGTGCTCATTCAGACGTTTTAAGGCAGATTCATAACTACAAACTCTAGATCTAGCCTCTAAGGCTGATATACCACGTAAAGCTATAATTTTTACGTCCATGCATGAGACTTTGGGCTTGAAATACAAGTTCCATTTGATGTATTAATCATAAAGGCTCTTCTCAAGATGAATAAAGCTGGGACCTTTGGATTCTAGGGACCTCACAAGGTCCAGATCTGAAGTCTCAATCTCCTGATAAGCTCAACACATTCAAAGTCTCAAGGAAAAGATGAAAAAACCCTAAAAATCGATAATCATGAGATCTAATCAACATAGTGATAAATGTGGACACTTTTTACCTTCAACAGAAGATGTGGACGAAATAACACCAGATCCAACAGTCCTTTCTCATTCCTTGTTGTGATTCTTCTCTCTTCTCTTACAATGATCACAAAAACGCCCAAGATTTAACTCTATTTTCTCTCTTATCTCGCTCTAGACGGTTTAGGGTTTAACTCAAGGGATATGATGACTGGTGAGGATGAAATGAGGGCTTAAGGTCTTTTAAATATGACCCAACCTCGAAGAATTAGGGTTTCCTCACACAGCACCAACTCGCACAGTTGGTCTTTCCGACTCGCCGAGTTGGTTGTAAAACCCACGTGGAAAATTCGTATCTACTTGATGAGTTGGGGCACCCACTCATAGAGTTGCTCACTCAACTCATAAATAGATATATAAATATTATACATAGGAGTCGGGATGTTACAACATTGCTCTCAACTTTCTCCTTCTCTCATCCTCTAAACTCCATTGTTGTTATTCAAATAACAAATCAAAAACCTTGTATTCATTTTGAAAAAAAATAGAAAGTACAAAATCACAATGAGAGTATATTAAAATATTCTTTATCATGTTGTAATGCAGAACACTGAACTTACATCATATTTTTTCTGTGCAAGTGTATAGATATACAATTCATATCACCTTTCTTTTGCAAGATTTGTTTGTACATAAGAGGAGCTACACAAAAAAGACATAAATATATAAAACACAAAATCAACATCCAAACACCACATTCTGGAAAAGTCATTTATCATTATATTCCTTAAGATTGTTCAATAGCCAAGATTAACAACAACATGGAGTAGTGAGATTATGGTGATGGGAAAAGCCATCTGTGAGACCAATTCAATTGTTCTCCCTGCAAAACCATTTTGAGCTTATCCGACAATAATGGTGTTCCAAGCAGGCAATCTAACAAACACCTTGCGGGCATCATCAATCAACCTACAAAATTCAAACAACAAAAAATGAGTAGCAAAAATCGAACATCTCAACAAAAATCAAGCAAAAAAAAAAAAAAAACCAGCAAAACTCATTTGCTCAAAAGAGGATGTTCGTCGGAGGAAGAAGACGTTCACCGAGTAATAGGTCGTCGATGGCTATTGTCGATTTACAGGTCGTCGTTGGTTTCTTTTGTGGAGGCGTTCACAATGAGATAGGGGAAAATAGGAAAGCAAACATATTCCTTAGATGTTGTCCCGGTCCAGCAGTGTAATAGAAGGGACCGAATCAGATCAAATTCTTGGACCGAATCTTATCCTTGGATCGAGTCGTTGATTATAAATTCGATAACAAACACGTTGATTGGTTTTTTTCGGACCGGGTACGGTATTGGACCCAGTTAGCAACTATATCAAACACCCCCTAATTCTTGTTAATCTATCCATAAGGTTAAAGGAAAACACTTAAAGTTGTAAGATTGTAATTTTCGGGAATATAGGGGAAGAGTTTGTTAGTATATAGGACTTTCGGGTTGTTTTTGTAAATTTATACCTTTTGACCTGGGGTCTTTATTTCTCTTGTATATATTCATGAAAAAAGGATTTCTAGTGACAATTTGCCAGCGGACTCGAGAAGTCGAAGTAAACAAGATTCGCGGCGGAAGCAGACATAGGGCGACGCCGGAGCGGCTGGAGGCGCTGCAGCTGGTGGCGACGTTGGTGCTCTTCTCCGATCGGTGGCGCCGTGGAGTTAAAGTGAGAAGAATAGGAGGAGAGAGATGATTTGATTCGCTAATTGCGAGCCCTAATTGTATTAAATTCGATGTGTGCTCACTGAACTATTGAGGCTATCAACAATTAGCGGAAATACATAAATAATAATACGAGATACCTAAAATGGCGGAGATAGGTCAAGAATCGGTGGATTTTTCGACTCTGGTGAGTCGAGCTGCAGAGGAATCATACCTTTCTTTAAAGGAATTGGTGGAGAAATCGAAATCTTCTGAAATGTCGGATTCTGAAAAGAAGATTAGCATACTCAAGTATCTTGTTAAGACTCAGCAGCGTATGCTCCGACTCAATGTTCTCGCGCAGTGGTGCCAACAGGTTAGCATTTTTCCAATCCTTCTTTCTGCAATAGATTTTTCGTATTATTGTTTCCAAAACATAGGTTTGATTTCCCCTTCTTGTTTTGTGATGACATTCTATTTATATTTCCAATCCAACTGAATCTGGGAACTAGATGCCTTTTTAACCAGTCGTTTTAAAATTTCATTGGGAAATTCGAGAAAGGAGAAAATCAACAAGAACGCAGCGCCTCATTGTCCAAATGAGATGATAATCCCTTCTGAATTCTGATATGCAGGTACCACTGATACAATATAGTCAACAACTTGCATCAACGCTGTCAAGTCATGAAACATGCTTCACTCAAGCTGCAGATTCAATGTTTTTCATGCACGAGGGACTACAACAAGCTCGTGCTCCAATTTATGATGTTCCATCTGCCATTGAAGTTCTCCTTACAGGCACATACCAACGTTTGCCAAAGTGCACAGAAGATGTAGGCATCCAAACCACATTAACCGAGAAACAACAGAAACCTGTATTAAAGAAATTAGACACCATAGTCAGATCAAAACTACTCGAAACACCACTTCCCAAAGAGTTCACAGAAGTCAAGATCTTTGATGGAACAGTCCATCTTTTTGTCCAAGGAGAGTTTAAGGTACTACTAACCCTTGGCTACCGTGGGCACCTTTCAATGTGGAGAATCTTGCATTTAGAAGTACTTGTTGGTGAGAGAACTGGTTTAGTTAAGCTTGAAGAAATGAGACGATTTGTTCTTGGAGATGATTTGGAACGCAGAATGGCAGCTTCTGATACTCCATTTGCAACTTTGTATTCTATTTTACATGAATTCTGTGTAGCTCTTATTATGGATACTGTTATAAGACAAGTTCAAGCACTAAGGGCAGGTAGATGGAAAGATGCAATTCGGTTTGAACTCATATCTGATGGTAGTTCAAGTCAAAGTTCTATACAACTTGGTCAAGATGGAGAGACTGATTCTGGTGGTTTAAGGACTCCAGGGTTAAAGATTCTTTACTGGTTGGAATGTGAGAAGAACAGTGGGACATCAGATGCGGGTTCTTGTCCTTTTATTAAGATTGAACCAGGGTTAGACTTGCGGATAAAGTGTCTACATAGTTCATTTGTCATTGACCCTTTGACTAACAAGGAGGCAGAGTTTTCAATTGACCAGAGCTGTATTGATGTTGAGAAATTGCTGCTAAGAGCTATATGCTGTAATAAGTATACTCGTCTGCTTGAAATTTATAAAGAGTTGGGGCAAAATAGTCATATTGGTCGAGCTGCAGGTGATGTTCTTCTTCACACCCCAGTTGATTCACCTGTTGATGAGTACGAAAAGGTCAGTTAAAATGAAACACTTTTGTCCTCTTTTTTTTCCCCCTCATTGATATCATTCTTGTGATTCTATTTTTTTTTCACCTTTTTTCATTTTCATCTGTAATTCATGTAACCAGAGTGAGATACTTCATGTCAGGTTATGTTGTGATTCTTCAAGTTGATAAGTTGATTATGCTCATTTGTTTCTATGTGCAGGACAACCAGTCAGAATCTGAAGGACAGGAAGTACTACGTGTCCGTGCCTATGGTTCATCATTTTTTACACTTGGAATAAATATAAGGTTTTACTCTAATCTGTTAATATATCTATAATTCTATATCTATATCTATATCTATATGTATATATATATATATATATATATATATATATGTATGTATGTATGTATATATGTATGTATGTATTTGTGTAAATTTATTCTGATAAAATGTTGAATTGAGGTACTGAGGTGCTAAAATATTAGCACTACAAGTGTTATGGCTGGGTATAATGTCGTCTAATGTGTGAAAGCATAAATCATGAAAACTTGTAAAAAAGACTTTGTGTCACTTAAACTTACATACATAGAAATGGGTTATATTGCATTTTTGCATTCCATTCTGTGATGGAAGGAATCACACACCAATGGAATGAACCATTCCATTCCTTTCCAAACACTACCTTCTGTCTTTTACCTTTTTTTTAATATGCAGGAGTGGGAGGTTTCTTCTTCATTCATCAAGAAGTACAGTTACATCTTCAGCCTTAAGAGAATGTGAGGAAGCACTAAATCAAGGAAGTATGACTGCAGCTGAAGCTTTCATAAGCTTGAAAAGCAAAAGCTTACTTCATTTATTTGCATGTATTGGGAGGTTTTTAGGACTCCAGGTAATAACATTTCTTAATCTAAAATCCTTAAATTTCCTTAAAAACTTCCAATCCTCTAAACATATTACCTTTTCAGGTGTTTGAACACGGTTTTTCTCCAGTGAAAGTACCAAAACAAATCTTAAACAGCTCCAACATGCTTCTCATGGGATTCCCAGATTGTGGGAGCTCTTATTTCCTCCTAATGCAACTCGAAGACAACTTTACCCCTATTTTCAAGCTCTTAGAAACTCAACCAGATCCATCTGCAAAACACGAACCTTCTGGTATCTCAAATCTTGTCACACGTGCTAAAAACATTGATATAAATCAAATGCACATTCTTGAAAGTCAACCCAGTTTGACCCTTTCCCTAACATCTGACCCCACTTCTGATCATACTCTTCTTTCTGATTTGGGCAATGAAACCTCTGCTTCTGCTTCTGCTTCTTCTTCTGGTCTTTTATCGGTTTTTTCTTCTATTGTGGATGAAGTTTTTGACCAAGAAAGACGGTCAACTGCCCCTGGCTTTCCTGTTCAGACTTTTGGTAATGCCTTTAGTAATAGCTTGTTGTATAATAATATGGGTAGTAGTTATAAAGGTAGGCCCCAATCTGGGCCCACCACTTCTTCTCTCATTTCTCCCCCTGGAAGGACTACAGTTATGAAGAAACTTTCTGATCAAGATTCGGCTTCTAGATCTCCACATTCTGGTTTTAGAAATTCTGTTGCTGGAACTTCAGGTGTTTTTTTTAAATTTTTTTTTTTTATTTAAAGTTTTTTCAATTCTATCTTACTCTAAATATTCCTCTTTTTCAGCCTCACTATCAGACTCTCCAATCAGATATGATCCCGGATCAAGAAAACGTGCTTTATTAGACATGTTAGACTTACTCCCATCACTCAAACCCTCAGAAACCCTTGAAGAACCCTCAAAAAGAAGGAAAATTACCAAAAACCCCTCGGGGACACTCAGCAACATGGAAAAATACCGATACGTAAACCTTATAGCGGAAGCAAACAAAGGAGATGCCCCATCAAGTATTTACGTTTCTGCCCTTCTTCACGTAGTCCGCCATTGCTCTCTCTGCATCAAACACGCCCGTTTGACCAGTCAAATGGACGCCCTCGACATTCCATACGCTGAAGAAGTGGGCCTACGAAACGCATCTTCAAACATATGGTTTCGACTCCCCTTTGCCCGAGGTGACACATGGGAACATATTTGCTTGCGCTTGGGCAGCCCGGGCAGCATGTATTGGGACGTGAAAATCAACGATCAACACTTCATGGACTTGTACGAACTTCAAAAGGGCAGCTCGGGCAACTCGGGCAGCTTTACCATGCCTTGGGGTTCGGGTGTTAGGATTGCGAATACTTCCGATATTGATTCGCATATTCGGTATGATTCCGATGGTGTTGTGTTGACTTATAATTCGGTTGAATCCGATAGTATTCGAAAGCTGGTTGCTGATATTGAAAGGCTAGCGAATGCTCGGACTTTTGCTTTGGGAATGAGGAAGCTACTTATTGATTCCGATGAGAAAGACGAAAGCCGAAGTAATTCCGATTCCGGAGTTGGGAAGTATCCGGAACAGATGAGGAGGGCGTTTAAGATTGAGGCCGTTGGGTTGATGAGTTTGTGGTTTAGTTTTGGTTCCGGAGTTCTTGCAAGGTTTGTAGTGGAATGGGAATCGGGTAAAAATGGATGTACAATGCATGTTTCACCTGATCAGCTTTGGCCTCATACAAAGGTACAAATGACCATTCTTGTAATTTACTCTTATTATTATTTATTTTATAATTTATAATGTCTGATTGATTAATTTTTCATTTTCAGTTTTTGGAGGATTTCATCAATGGGACGGAAGTTTCATCTCTTTTGGACTGCATCCGTCTGACAGCGGGACCCTTACATGCCCTAGCAGCTGCAACACGTCCTGCCCGAGCTGCCCCTGTTTCTGGGGTCCCCAACACTGCACCTTCTTCATCTCTCTCAAAACCAAACACATACAACAACACTTCTTCACCTGCCGCCACAAATCTCGGAACCCACACGGCGGCCATGTTAACCGCCGCCACAGCCGCCGCCCGCGGCGGCCCCGGAATCGTCCCGAGCTCTCTTCTACCAATCGATGTCTCGTTTGTTCTCCGTGGCCCGTATTGGATCCGAATAATATACCGGAAATATTTCGCGGTGGACATGCGGTGTTTCGCTGGAGACCAAGTCTGGCTGCAACCCGCCACCCCACCGAAGGGTGGCCCTACCGCCGGAGGGTCGCTACCTTGTCCCCAATTCCGACCCTTCATCATGGAGCACGTTGCTCAGGAGTTAAACGGTTTAGACCCGAATAATTTCTCGGGTCAAGGATCGACGAATTCCAGTTCCGGTTTGAATGGAAACAGAGTGAGTCCCGCCGGAATCGCGCGTTCCGGGGTTCAACCGTTTAGTCGGGGTGCAACCGCGATGCCGACATCTTCGGGTTTAGGGAGCCCGGGATTGGGGTTACGTAGGGCGCCTGGGGCGGTTGTTCCGGCTCATGTTAGGGGGGAGCTGAATACTGCTATTATCGGACTCGGTGATGATGGTGGTTATGGTGGTGGGTGGGTCCCACTTGTTGCTCTTAAAAAGGTTCTTAGAGGGATCCTCAAGTACCTTGGAGTTTTATGGCTGTTTGCTCAGTTACCTGAGCTATTGAAGGAGATTCTCGGATCCATTTTGAAGGATAATGAAGGTGCACTGTTGAATTTGGATCAAGAGCAACCCGCTTTGCGCTTTTTTGTGGGGTAAGAAATAATTACTTATTACTTAAATTATAATAAACATATCAATGGAATTATAAAAAAAAAATATTATTTTTTGTTGCAGTGGGTATGTATTTGCAGTGAGTGTCCACAGAGTCCAACTTCTTCTCCAAGTTTTAAGTGTAAAACGCTTCCATCATTCCCAACAACAACAAAACCAAAACCAACAACCAAACGCAATCACAGCCCAAGAAGAGCTCACCCAATCAGAAATCAGCGAAATCTGCGACTACTTCAGCCGCCGGGTCGCGTCGGAACCCTACGACGCGTCCCGTGTCGCCTCCTTCATCACCCTCCTGACCCTCCCAATCTCTGTCCTCCGCGAATTCCTCAAACTCATCGCGTGGAAAAAATCCCTCGCGTCCCAGTCAGCATCCGACACCCCGCCAGCTCAGCGATCGCGAATCGAACTCTGCCTCGAGAACCACACCGGAGTTGAGGCTCTGTCGCCGGAGAACGCAACCGGAAATGGAAACGGAAACGGAAACTCTCCGGCGACGAAAAGTAATATACATTATGACCGGGGGCATAATGCGGTTGACTTTGGGTTGACGGTGGTGCTTGACCCGGCGCTTATCCCACATATAAATGCCGCTGGTGGTGCCGCTTGGTTGCCGTACTGTGTGTCGGTGAGGTTGAAGTATTCGTTTGGGGAGAATCCGAATGTTGGGTTTCTTGGGATGGAAGGGAGTCATGGTGGGAGGTCGTGTTGGGTGAGGGTGGAGGATTGGGAGTATTGTAAGCAGAGGGTGGTCAGGACGGTGGAGATGAATGGTGGTGGTGGTGGTGATGGGAGTCAGGGGAGGTTGAGGGTGGTGGCGGATAATGTTCAAAGAGCACTTCATATGTGTCTTCAAGGGTTGCGGGGTGGCGGTGTTGGTGGCGGTGGTGTTGGTGGAGGGAATGTGACATGACTGGAGATGTGATTTGGGTTGTTGGTTTGTTTGGTTGCTTACATGTAGGGTAAAAGTTTTCCCTTTGTATAGTGTGACTGTTTTGTTGTGTTTGTATAAACATTTTGTGTTTTTCCACCATTTTGAACAATAACAAATAGTAGGTTTTTGCTGCTTTCAAGTGTCATTCAAAGTAGATAGTTATTAGTATGTTCTGATAGGGTTTACTTTTATTTATATAGAAATATTTGGTAAAATTAGTTGCATTTTTTTTTCAGAAATATGTAATATTAAATAAGATAAAAATAATAGGGTTTTGTTTTGGTCCAAAAGCTCTTAAAAGCTCAACGAAGCTCACAGCCAAAACTCACGACCGCTCGTGCGTTTTTATTTCCTTCTTGAAATTTGTATTTTTTTAGCCTTTTAAAACACTACTCTCTATTGTTTTGCATCGGGCCTCCAAAAGGACTTAAAACACTGCAACATAGAGACAATAGAGTAAATAAATCAAAAAAAGGAAAGAAAATACTTCCGAGTTGCTTTACGGTTAGTCGTTTTTGGATTGACTTTTACTCTTCAAATGTTATTTGACATAGTCTCAGCGTTTCAAGCAATCAACCTACACGTCCTATTCTTGGAAACCTTCATAAAACAACTTCAACATTTGACCATTAACTTTGATCACTTTTTTCCTATATATTACTTTTAACCTCGACTGCACCAAGATCATAGACATTAGTAACAATGAACGGTCCCATCCACTGAACCGTAACTTACCAAAAAAACCATTTTAGACGAGGGTTGATATGTGAATACTAATTCATATATTTTATGCTTTATCTTAAATATTTTTAGCTATAATTATGCTTATTATAGGACGAAAGGTACTTAATTTGTTTAAATTCAATTTTGTAGCAGTGAAGACATGCTTAGATGAAAAGAAAGCAAATGCAGAGTTGTATGTAGGAATATTGAACCAAGTCAATCAGAGTCAAAGAAATCAACAGTTTTGAAGCCCATGGCGTGGAGATTCCTAGCCATGCCGTGGTGAGTTTGTTATTCACGATCTGATCTACATGCCTTGGAGAATACGCGTTTTAAGTGGTTGCCACGCCGTGGAGCCTGTTTGCCACGACGTGGGATGTGATTTTTGGCAGCTATTTATTGATCGTTTTGACTCTCAACCCTAACATATACTGGAAGTTATTGACGGCTTCTAGTTACTCTATTACTTTGTTTTGATCATGTCTATCAAAGTGATTTTCGTTTTTACTTCTGTCAAGTAGTATGTGTTGATTGAGTGGATTTGGATTATTGCTAGTTGTTTATTTATTATTGTTGCTTGTTAAAAGAACCTTTTATGTTAATGACAACTTCTTTTCTGTTTATTGTTGAGTTTAATTGAGACTTGATGAACTATCTTTCTTAGTTGGCTTTAATCTTATGATTTTGTGAGTAACAAGGTTATAGGACTAGTGTTTTGATAAAAAACCTAGGATTAAATAGAAAAGTTGGTAAATTGATATGAAAGCTAATATACGAAGAACAATCATGTATTGAATTAATATTTATAAACCATTTATGTTAATCAAAATTACAAGTCTTCCATAATTCAAACTTATGACTAGCTTACTTGTTTATTTGTCCACTTGATATCTGAATGAATGAACTTGTTTAGCTAAATGATTAGTATTTTTTATCATAATTCTAATCAATCTAGGAATCGGTAAACAACAACACTATAATCCATTGCACTTTCCACGAAATCAACCATATGAGTAAGTGAATCGTATCTAAATGAAAATCTTTTTTATATCTTGATTTCAAAACCGTTTTCTTGTTTCTTCTTTAGTTTAAAGTGCTTATTTGTTAATTGCTTTTACGTTTCTAAACTTGCAAAACTGGAAAACCCCCTTTTATTTGCTTAATTTACTTAGATAACTTTAGTAGGTAATTTTAGCTGTTATTTTTGTTTCCTGTGTTCGATACTCAACTTACCTGAACTATCCTATTAATCGATTAGGTACACTCCTATCGCCTATCAATTAGTCTAAAGTAGTTGGTTTAAAACTAGTACTTAAAATACGTATCAAGAGTCATAGTGTAATGTCTTTTGACCTATCTTAAAGGTCTTACATGAAATGTACTTTTCGTTAAATGATTTGGTCTTGTTCTTGTAGATGTGTGAGTTCTTGGGTACCTTATTTCTTCATATATATTGAAGTTAATGACTTCCCCATCAAATTCCATTGATAAAGTTCCATTGTAAACATCGATTTTTGTTTTTTCTATTTTAAGATAAGGTTTACCCAAATGTATGGAACTTGAATTTGGGGAGTCATCATCTCCCATATCTAGAACATAAAAATCAGTCGGGATAACAAGTTCATTGGTTTGCACTAACATGTCCTTTAGGACACTTTTTGGGTGTACTATCGACCGAATGACAAGTTGTAAACGGATTATGGTAGGACATTTATAGATGTGAACGGAGTATGGTAGGACATTTATAGATGTACCCAAGTCAAGCATAGCTCGAGGCACATTACACCAATTTTTCTTAATGTTCCTACACTAATTAATTTGTAAACGGAGTATGGTAGGACATTTATAGATGTACCCAAGTCAAGCATAGCTCGAGGTACATCAAGATTCCCCAATTTGCAAGGTACGGTAAAGACATTGGGATCCTTTAATTTCAGGGCATCATTTTTGCAAAACCGCTGAATTGTTCTCATCGAATTTTAGTATTTCATTACATTTGAGTTTCGTTTAGATATGCAAAGTTATTTTAAGAGATTAGCATATCTAGGAACCTTTTTGATGGCATCAAGGAGTGAGATATTGACTTTTAGAACATTTGCATGATTGCGTTATCTTCCCGTTCCTTCTTCATGCTCACCAATCTTTCGGGAAATGGAGTGACTGGAGTATATTTGTGTCACACCCCCGGCCGAGGCACCGAAACATGTTGGGCTGTGCGACTTAGTTCATGGATCTCAGGCAATTGGATATATAACACAAGTACAAAAATAACGAAACAGTAGTTGTATTTCATCTTGAAGTTTGAATAAAAGGTTCTTACAGATGATAATAAAGTACATGAATTTCCTTAACAACTAGGCAGCTATAACAAAAACTAGAAAAACTAGGTCACCAGAAATCCATGACTATTCTGTCATCTGAAATGCTTGTCTAGTGATTTCTTGAGAATACATGTAGTTTTGTGGATCAACACAAGGTTGGTGAGAGTTATAGGTTTTCTGCTAGAGCAGTGGTGATGCTTTTAAAATAACCAAAAAGTACTTTCTTTGTAAGTAAAACCATACTTAAAAATGTGTTTGTAAGGAGCCCTCTAAAGAAACTTTGAAAACCAAAAGGTGTTTTTCCATAAAACCATACTTATAATTGTTTTTGAAGTGGGAGAGAAACCAAATCAATGGTTTGTAGAGAAACTATCAATGTTTATAGTGAGTTCTATACCGAGCTATATGACTAGAGTACCCTCTACGACACTTCATTGGATGTCGTAGCGCTGATAATATAAATATCACCTGCTTCGATTTGCCTTCGTGGTTGTAGCTAGCAACCACAGGTGAGGTTGTCAACCCTTATAGATCTATACATATGTATCTCGCTCCGAATGATTAACAGTCATAGTAGTACGAGTCTTATAAGTATTTCTACCTAGGGGTATGAATAGCATCTCACTATAAAAACCACTGAATGATGTATACGAAAAGCTCCCAGCCCTAACTGATACGTGGATAAGTCATAATGATTTACCTTGCATAAAGTTTATAAAATCCGAGCATGTTAGATAACTATATACGTAAAAGTGTATAATACTCGCTTAAATAAGTGGTGATGTGACACCCCTGGGTAGAGGCGAAATCGCCAAGCTGTGCGACGTTAGGATGTTGGGATCTCAGGCCAAGATACACATTGAATAATACACAGGATGTACAAAATAACATAGCTATTTATTTATCAAATAAAAGATGTTACACAATTTTTCTAGGTACAAGTAGGTTACAAAAGAAAAGCACATAAGTCCCGAGCTGCATCACCGGGGTTATCTCGTTCTTCAGGCGGGTTCATTCTCTTGAAAATACATGTTGTTTGAGAGGTCAACATCATGTTGGTGAGTCCATAGGTTTTATTGTTATAAAACACGTGTGGGTATTTTAGTTGTTTTTCTTATCCTAAACTCGCTTCCTTGAGTTTGTGAGTACTATCACTATTGCCATAGGTAGCTTCCTAGTGGGAGTCTTAGATAGTTGAGTGTTGGTTGACCTAAAATCGCTTCCTTGAGTTTGTGAGTACTATCACTACATAGTTGGATTTATCCTAATAGTAGTTTATGGGAACTAGTTTTAGTTTGAAAAAGTTATGATGAGTTCCTATAATCGAGCTATGACTGTTGATACCGAAAGAAATAACATGACACTTCATCAGACGTCACTATGGTAAGAAAGTTATGCCTGCTTCGACTTGCCGTCGGGTTGTAGCTAGAAACCACAAGAGAGAGTGTCAATACCGTGTATATATATATATATATATATATATATATATATATATATATATATATATATATATATATATATATATATATATATATATATAGTGACAACCTGAAATTTCCATTCGGTCAAACCCTAGAAGTCAACCACTTCGTACAATAAATTAATATCATTATTTCTTATTTTAAGAAATATAAAGTTTGTTTGATTATTTTAATATTATTTTTAAACGAACGGGTGAAAAAAAGTGTCGTCTCGGGTTTTAAATTTTAAAAACCGCAAACACCTCGCGTCTTAGAAACTCTCGGCCAAACTATTTCGTTTGAGTCGAAAAATCATACCAAAATCCGAAAACTCATGCTTATCCATGAGTTTAGTCCTTAAGTCTAGTCAATATGAGTTTACTCCCGATTTATCCAAAAGAGTAAACTCCCAAAAGAGTAAACTCAAGAAAACCTCTCAAGTAGCAAACTAGAAACAATTCAAGATCTTCAAAGTTGTAAGTGTTCTATCCATTTCAAGTTGATTAAACACTTAATCTAGTGTTTGTGCATCTATTCACCCATTCACTTTTGTGTTTTGATTAGATTTCCAAAAACACCAAGAACACCAAGAACGCACACTAAGTGTTCTTGGACTTTTAGCTAAATCCAAGCTTCCTTATAGTAAGTACTTCCATCCTTGAGTATTCTTAAGCTTATAGTACATATTAACATCAAAGAAAATTCGCAAGAACACCAAGATCAAGGTGTTCACGGTTTTGGGAGGCTCCCAAAACCGTAAACACCATTTATGGTGCAAAGTGGTGC